CGAAATCCCGATAGAGGTGTTCGATCATTTTTCATGTTCTTTCCAACGCTGTGCTGATTGTCTCTCTACGACTTATACTTTTTGCTGTACAGATAACCTACCTGTGCCGACCTACCGGTGCTCTAAACTAGTACTCTCTTCGGGAAAATATGTAAGACCAAAAACCATAGTTGAGGTTTAAATATAAATTTGATAACTTAAATAGTTTAGCAATAACCCGCATTTTAGTAGTCAAATCTGATGGACAAAACTTTTTTCGAAATCTGATACGTTTGAAAATAAAATTATATTACTGTCTGAAGGGATCGCTTGAGGCTAATCTCTGTATATATAAGAGTATATGAAAATTGATTTTCATTTCATATAATACGGTCTTACAAATGAAGCAAGGTAAATGAGAGCACGAATACCAGGCTTACATTCCCAACATTCTCTACTATTCACAAGTATTATCGGAATATAACTTATGGTCTATTCATAAGAATTGTCTCAAAACTGATCCCACATTTGATTTCACACTAAAACTCATTCATCAAAACGATTACAAGTTTTTCGCACAATATTTCTGATCAAAGTCTACATAATATTCACTTAAATTCAACTCAATTTAAATAAATTCATTGCATTTCATACTTATATAATATTTATCACATTAATACTACTTATCTCTAAATATTTATTATAAATTCATTTGTATTCTTAAGCGTATATTTTTATTATAAATATTTTGTATAAATAACTTATCACCCTGATACAATACAGAACAGAATACAATTAAAATATGATAGCATTATGTATTATATTATGAGATAAATAAAAGTATTTTAAATTTCAATACTCAAATGTTTTACTAACAGTGCTTTACTGTAAAACAATTTATCTATTGATATGATAAAATACCATGACAATTATCATTACTAACTATTTCTTATTAAAAATGTAAGTAAATAATTGTGTATTTATTGTTAATGTGTTTTATGTATAATTAAATTTCTAAATCAATTTATTTATTATTTATTTATTGCAAATAATAATCATTTGTTAATTGTGTGTGAAATGAGTTTAAATATTCGTTTGAACAAAAGCCCACAACAATCGGGAGTGGAGTCCAGTAATAGCCGATCCATACATACGAGTGATGTGAGGCCTACGGAACACGAGTCCAATGATTCACACAATGAAACACTTGTCGACGAAAATAGACATAAAAGTGAAGAAAATATCATTAAATCGATTCAATTGTTTCATGTTTTCGACGACGAGAGAGGATATAAT